AGCAGTACTTGAAGACGGAAATGAATACGGAAGCAATGAAATCGGAATTATTTCCTGATGTAATTAATATGATAAATGATAATACTGGATGTGTTGTACAAAAAATAAAATTGAATCGAAAGTAGCACATATCGCTGTTTTCGCTCTTTCTCCCACATTTAAACTTCTTACGGAATGGATGAAAATGATAATAAGGGAAGTAGTCGTATGGCATCATCCATTCCATTGGAATCTGCTTGGACGTTTGCGCCTAACGGTCGATTTTCTCACTTATCATACTGCTTTGTTTTCTCGCTAATCTCTCAACTTCTCTCATCCATGAAGCAATTACATTTTACTGTTCAGTTTACTGTTCAATCATCTATCATCTCTTCCAACAATAATGCAAATGAAGTAGGAAGCAAGGGAACTTGATTGACATATCTATCACTGAAGCCTACTGTAGTACCGAAATTAGATCTTGTTGCGACACCAAAGAGATTGTTGAAGGGTACAAAATTGAATGCTTTTAGCATTATACTTACTCCTTGTGCAAGTCAGATTTACCGGAACTAAAGTAAGATATTGTGAAATCATATTTCAAACCGGTGCAGGATCCGTTATCAGCAGCATGAAAACTAAGGAAAAAACGGAACAGTTTATTCGTTTACTGTCATTCATGGCATATTCCCATAATTGATATTAGTAGTTTGGATTCTTCACGGTATGCTTGCGAAAGTGTCAATTATGATAAAATTGACGGTTTCCGACATTTCGTACTTTTTCCGTGCATTAGATATGCAATCTTCACTCTCTGTGCATCTGCTATTAATATGGGAGATATGCTGCTAAGATAGTTCGCAATGTGTGCTGCTAAGATGGTTTGCAATATTTTTTAGTTGCTACATAGGCGAAGCTTTTGCTATCGCTGACTTAATAATGGAAAATAAGGCTTAATCTTTATTCTCCCATCCTATTTACGATAGATATATCAACCAAATACCCTTAATTCATGCTTCATTTGTATTATTTTATATTGTTGGAAGTGATTCTTTACTTGATAGAAGTGTTGAATGAAAACATGAAGGACAAAAAAACAATTTAGCCCCAAAATTTATTAATTATTAATTAAGGACTAATCTTAATGTTTCATTTATTAAGGACTAATATGGTAATGAGAGTTTTGAAATGTGCTTTTCCGTACTAAAGCATTTTGAAAAATGTTTCTCTGTATTAAATTAGCATTTCCAGTTTATATATTAAGTGCTAGCTTTTGTAGCACATGTGTGCGGGATATTAATTTGGCATCGGAAGAGTGTGTTAATTTCCTTGGAAAAAATCAGAAGCTCCGGAATGAGTATTTGGCAACATTTTCAAATGTAAACTTAAATCTCATGAGAGTTTCAACATTTTATAAGTTTAAGTTATTTTATAAGTTCAATCATCTGTACTGAATCGGTTAGATACTGTGGAAAATATGGCAGTAATTGAAGATTGCATCACAATGTAACTGGTAATAAGGGGCGTTGAATAGCTTTCTTTCAGGTTTTTCTTGAAGTGTGCTATACGAGACCACTATTTGAATGGATACATGCGCTAATGTTGGTACTGCAAAAGTCGTTAACGCACAATGTATGTTCATCGATACGTCATTTGGCTAAGCATTCACGTGTTTTGCGAAATACATTAAATGAAGAAACGCAAAGTGGTAGCACAATGCATGAAGAATTCTCATTATTTATTGCAGTTGTCGGTGTTTATTTCGAACAATTGGATATCACTGATCAGATCTCTTCTTAAGATAAATTAACAGTAAACAAATGTAATTACTCCGTGGATTAGAGGAATTGAGAGATTAGCGCGAAAACAAAGCAGTGTAAGTGAGAAAATTGACCGTTAGGCGCAAACGTCCAAGCTGATTCCATTGGAATGGATGATGCCATACGACTACTTCCCTTATTATCATTTTCATCCATTCCGTAAGAAGTTTAGATGTGGGAGAAAGAGCGAAAACAGCGATATGTGCTACTTTTGATTCATTTTCATTTTTTTGTGCAACACATCCAGTATTATTATTTATCATATTAATTACATCAGGAAATAATTCCGATTTCATTGCTTCCGTATTCATTTCCGTCTTCAAGTGTAATTAGCTGTTAGTAATCAAATTGTTCCTAAATTCAATTAACGAATTCAATCATCTGATGAAATTCAATTAGAAATCATTTGCGCTAATTCTTCCCTCGCACAGTTTCTTCTTCTCCATTTCCTTCATCTTCTTTTCCACTAGGAAAAGCATTCGTAGTGCGAAGGCCCGATTTCCCAGTGTGAGCTCCTTATATTAGTAATCCAAAGCAGTACGCTGTAGCTCCTTTAAATGATCATGCAGCGGTTTAATCGGGGTTTTCGGTTCTCCCGTTATAATCTGAATCGGGAATTATTTTTTACTCAAATATTGGAAATTTGGGGAGAGAAGAGAAAGAGTAAAATGTTATCTGTCGAAAAATGAAAAAAAATTTTTGCTGAAATTTTCATTAAAAATATGATTTGCTAATAATACTCCTTACTTCATATCTTGTTCCAATACCGCGGCATATTGAACAACGTCTCTTGTTTATTTGACAACAGCCGCCTCAAATATTAAGGAATATTATTTGATTATTATTGCCATAACCCACATTCCAACCAAGCCCCGATATAGCCATAATTCTCAATCCAACCAAACCCCAATGACCATCAATCCAACCAAATCCCAAAGTACCCATAATCCCATTTATTTCCCTTTCCCCACTAGAGAATCGTCACCCTTACCGTTATGGTTATAGTCAGTAGTATCGGAGTTAAAACAATCATAAACTGATTAATTGAATTCTTTCTTCGCCTTTTATATGTTTATAATGTGATGTTTATTGAATTTGAATATTTAAAATATATTTGAATAATAAAATAATATTTGAATATTTAGGAAAATATATGCAAAGAAATTTATATTTCTTCAGCAATGATAATAATTATTCTGCTGCAAAATTAGCATATTGAAAAGAAAAGCTTCGATATGATTTCTGTTGAATGAATCAGTTAAATATCTTTTATATGTGACAATGAGCAGAGCGAAAATATTCATTATAAAATTAGCATTTTGTTAATTTGAAAAATGAATAAAATATGAAGGTAGCAAATTTAAATTTTTAAATTTCGGACTGTTAATTAAATAAGAAAATAAAATATCAGGTATACATTGTTGTATATTACAGCAGTATGCTATTTGATTCTGCCTAAATAATTTTACTTTGATGAATCCTTCAAAAAAAATACTTAGCAATTCTTTTTGAAATTAAATTTTCAACTGCTAAAATTATCGATCAAATACAGGAAGAAAAAAATGTCGAGGATGATTTTGATGTTTGTAACATTCAGTCACAAACAAATTAGAGCTGTAAAAAAGATGTTATTATGATTGTCAACAATTTCGTTAACGCCCGTCTCTAACGATTGTCAATAATTTCGTTAACGCTGATCTCTAGCAATTACCAACAATTTCATTGACACTGATCTCTAACAGTTGTCAATGATTTTGCTGATGCGGATGCTAAAATGGATTCGGGCGCACTCTGTCAATCTATTCGCATCACTTGTTCAATAGAATATTACAGAAATAGATGTATTAAAATACAACATACTTCAGTAGTAAATGTATTCGTAAAATTCAATTAATGTTAGTTGAAGGTCAAAGAGGTAAGAAATTTAGCGA